TTATCATTTTATTATTTTCCAATAAATCATTACTTCATACATGTATATGGCAATAATATAAAAAAATTAACTTCCCATTCAAAGTAAAACTATTTTAAAAAATGCCTTTAAGTAATAACAAACACATCAAATGCATAAAATAATAAATATATAATAAATACAATTGGCACAGAATTAATAAACTACTCGTCTGTATATCCCATTAATATTATAAATATTTAAAACAAACAACTCTTCAATACATAGATAATTAATAGATTGGCACAAGTACTACATAATGTATCCACAATTACATTTCATAATATATATAATTAATTTAATTGTTATTAAACTCTATGTCAATTGTATTTATAGATTTTGAATTATGAAAACGACAAAATTTTTATTTACTGTATATTTATTGTTATAGAAGTAAGTATTGTCAATAACATATAAATTGCAACAAGTAATTAACTGCCATCCTAATCGCATTTATAATTGACCGATTTTACCCATTGTGAGGGAAATTTCATTTTAGAGATTAGAGCAAACTATTAGATATTTTATTTTTAAAATGTTGCCTATTTAATTAATGTACACTATTTGTTTATCATTTTATTATTTTCCAATAAATCATTACTTCATACATGTATATGGCAATAATATAAAAAAATTAACTTCCCATTCAAAGTAAAACTATTTTAAAAAATGCCTTTAAGTAATAACAAACACATTAAATGCATAAAATAATAAATATATAATAAATACAATTGGCACAGAATTAATAAACTACTCGTCTGTATATCCCATTAATATTATAAATATTTAAAACAAACAACTTTTCAATACATAGATAATTAATAGATTGGCACAAGTACTACATAATGTATCCACAATTACATTTCATAATATATATAATTAATTTAATTGTTATAAAACTCTATGTCAATTGTATTTATAGATTTTGAATTATGAAAACGACAAAATTTTTATTTATATTTATTGTTATAGAAGTAAGTATTGTCAATAACATATAAATTGCAACAAGTAATTAACTGCCATCCTAATCCTAATCGCATTTATAATTGACCGATTTTACCCATTGTGAGGGAAATTTCATTTTAGAGATTAGAGCAAACTATTAGATATTTTATTTTTAAAATGTTGCCTATTTAATTAATGTACACTATTTGTACAGTATTTCGCCTCAATTGTGCAATATTAGTGAAAACAAATCTGGACAAACTAATTAGTTGTTTAAGCAAAAATATTTAATTGATTCTTATTTATAAAGTTTTAATAAAATTCTTATTAATTTTAATGCTACTTTACCATTTGAAAATAAATAAAAATAGTCATGTTTTTAAATAAAATTTTATTTGTTAAGTAAAGTAAGGTAAAGTAAATCTTTACTATGATTTTATTATGATAATACAGTATTAACAATACAATATTAACATGCAAACTCAATCATGATAATCAACGATTGAGCACACTCTTAACAAACCCCCTGATCTCTGTGGTAATCAACTCGGGCTCTTCAAACTGATTAAAATGACCCCCTCTGGGCATTGTGGTGTACCGAACAAGGTCGATTATTATACATTACTGGTCAATGACTTGGGCGATCGGATCAACTCATGGGGAAAGTCGGCCACACCTGCCGGTACTGTAATCGGCCCAGAACTGTGTAAACAACAAACAAAAACAACATAACTAACCATGCTGAAATAAATAACTAAATCAACTAAACACCACCCTTACCCTTCTGTGCTGCCCATACTCTCTTTGTAAAACCTGAGACTCGACGTGACATTTCCAGACACCCAGTAGATCATAATCTGGGTTAATAACTCATCCAGTGTCCAGGTATCTTTTAAACCACCATCGGACTTGTTCACATTATCGGCATTGGTCCAGGTGGAATATAAGTTCAGTATCCAGGCGGCCAAACCCGCGGGACTGTTCAATAGGGAGGCGCCCACAGTGTCCGGTTTGGTGGCCTGAATGTGAAAATAACCCGATTCTCGCATTATGAATGAAAAATGTTTCCAAAAGGGGTACACAAACGGCGCCTCCCTTTCCGCTTTGTTTAAAACTAACGAGGGTGCAAACGCGCCCACTATGTATTTACCGAGTGCTATACCCCGCAGTGACAGTATGCTGGTGCCCATCGTGGTGTAAACGCCAATAGTACTAGAAAAAAGTTACAAAATACCGTTAATTGATTTAAATTTTATACAGCTTAGTAATATAAGCTAGTAATATACTTTTCAGAGTAATCTCTGGCAACCGCCCTAGATATGACTGACCCCCAGTCGCCACCGTGTACAAAAAAAAACGCTTATGGCCTAAACGATCCATGAGTTTTACAAACACCCTGGCTGCGTCAGGTACTGCAAACCCTATTATTAATATTAAGCATAAATTATTATAATTTCTTCCAATTTTCATTTTATCCTAACTATTTATTGTGTAAATTATTAACTAGTTTAACAATATTAAACTGACAAACTAACCTGGTTTATGTGGCGCCTCAGAGAACCCATAACCCGGAATTGATGGACAGATCACTTCAAATGCCACACCATCTTTGGGCTCCAGCAATAAGGGGATTGCCTTATAGTACTCCCACACAGAGCCGGGCCAACCATGTATGACCTAGATACGTTAATTGTTAATTAATATATAAAATTGTAGGTAATTACCAGAATGGGTACAATCTTTTTGGCCGGTTTACTAGGCTTAACATGTATTTCTGTGGATTCAGTCGGTAATGGCTGTCCATCTGATTATTTAGATAATTGTTTAATTAGTTATTTGCAGCAAATGTACTTGATTTAATTAAAAATTTATTAAAAATTTTTCCGTATATGTGTTTTAATCCAATATAAAACATTGTACAACGAGCTAGTTTAATAATAGATACTAATCGTGATACATTTACAGTTTTCATTGTAATTTTATTTTTAAAAAAATATTTTTTCCCACACAGAGCCGGGCCAACCATGTATGACCTAGATACGTTAATTGTTAATTAATATATAAAATTGTAGGTAATTACCAGAATGGGTACAATCTTTTTGGCCGGTTTACTAGGCTTAACATGTATGAAGTGAACGGATAGGCCGGCAATTTGTGTGGTGTACTGTTTCAATGAGTTCAGGTGCTGTTCCTGTCGGCGCCAATCAAAGTCTGTGCGCCAGTAGTCGCACACTTCCCGTAGAAACTGACCGTTAAAGCCGTAATTAAAGTTTGTGCCGACAATTGAGTCCACATAACGAGTGCTCTCTAGCCGTTGCCTCAGGTCTGTTAGGGTCTCTTCCGGCACCTGTACCTCAAAGTCACGTATTTCTGTGGATTCAGTCGGTAATGGCTGTCCATCTGATTATTTAGATAATTGTTTAATTAGGTATTTGCAGCAAATGTACTTGATTTAATTAAAAATTTATCAAAAATTTTTCCGTATATGTGTTTTAATCCAATATAAAACATTGTACAACGAGCTAGTTTAATAATAGATACTAATCGTGATACATTTACAGTTTTCATTGTAATTTTATTTTTAAAAAAATATTTTTCCTTTAATTACTACTATTTTTACTATTAAAATTTTCATCTCTCTCTCTCTCTCTCTCTCTCTCTCTCTCTCTCCTTACCTCTCCAATCACTTGTGCCAAACCACTTGTCCCGGAGCTCAGGCTTTTTTGACCGGCGCTGGTCTCCAATAGGGATACACAATAGCGGCGATTGCGGCCAATACTATACCAAACACTATGCTTTGAATTAAGCATATTATCCATTGAATGAATCCCAGATTAAAACTAAATATACAAATATTAAATACAAACAAAATGTTATTAAATTTAAATAAATCAGAGAGAGAGAGAGAGAGAGAGAGAGAGAGAGAGAGATTTCATTTTGGGCAAACACTGTATAATACGGTTTTGAGGCGAGAAATTAAAATCAGATTTTAGTCTAATTAAGTTTTTCATAAAGAATGTGTTATTTATTTATTTATACACTTTTGATGGCTTTAAGATTCAAGATCTCATGAATTCATTTTATTTATACAATGAATCTATTTATTGAACATAAAAATTATTTATTATTTGGTTTTATATTCTCATCAGTTAATGAAAAGTAGATTTTGGTATCAAAATGAATACCAATTAAAAAATGAACGACCGATCAATGGGTCTATTGGGGCCATCATTGGGGCAAACGGTGTGTCCAATGATTTTTGTGAACATAATTTTATTAAATTAGATAACAGGGGATATAATTGCCACCAATTCTTATAAACACTTATTATTCATCGATAAACACAGTTTTCAAAGTGAAAATCTCATCATTTTTTATTTTGGATATTATTTGTTATTATTTATTCATTTATTTCGTAAATAATAGTAATTTCCATTAAAATGTGATTTCTTATTAATTAAATCTCTCTCTCTCTCCTTTCTTTCATTTCTCGTTTCTTTCGCTCGTTTTCTTGAATCAAAATTATAGTCAAAAAAGACTTTTCATTTAAAAGCATATAATATTTTATATGAATACAAAATAAAAAATTATTGATCAGCCAATACTCATCAGTAGTTTAATAATTTTATTTCAAATAATTGTAACATGAATTTTAATTGGTCTATTACTTGTTACTTGTTACAAGTACGACAAATAGAAATGCGTTAACGCAAGAATATTTAATTATTTGTTATTTATAAAGTTTAAATATAAAATTTTATTTATTTTAATGTTACCTTACCATTTAAAAATAAACAAAAACAGTCATGTTTTTAAATAAAATTTTATTTGTCGAGTACTAAAATTTTACTAATTAATTAAACACAGCACAATATTAAAATGCATGTTTAACATACACGCAAAATCAATCATGATAATCAACGATTGAGCACAGCCTTAACAAACGCCCTGATCTCGGTGGTAATCAACTCGGGCTCTTCAAACTGGCCAAAATGTCCCCCTCTGGGCATTGTGGTGAACCGAACAAGGTCCGTATTTTCATTTCTGGCCCACGACTTGGGCGACCGGGCCAGTTCATGGGGAAAGTCGGCCACACCTGCCGGCACTGTAATCGGCGCAGCACTGTATACAAAACAAACAACAACAAAATTACTAACCATGCTAAAATAAACGATTAATTTTAATAAACACAAACATACCCTCCTGTGCCGCCCATAGACTCTTTGTAAAACCTGAGACTCGACGTGACATTTCCCGAGACCCAGTAAATCATAATCTGGGTTAGCAACTCATCGAGTGTCCATGTATCTTTTAAACCACCATCGGGTTTGTTCACATTATCTGGATTGGTCCAGGTGGAATACTTCTCCAATATCCAGGCGGCCAAACCCGCGGGACTGTTCAACAGGGAGGCGCCCACAGTGTCCGGTTTGGTGGCCTGAATATGCATATAACCCGACTCACGCATCAGGAATGAAAAGTGTTTCCAAAAGGGGTACACGAGTGGCGCCTCCCTCTCCGGGTCGTCCAACACTAGCGATGGTACGAACGCGCCCACTATGTATTTACCGAGTGCTTTACCCCGGAGTGACAGTATGCTGGTACCCATCGTGTAGTGAACGCCAATAGTACTAGAAAAAAATTGGACAATAGCGTAAATTTAGTTATTTTATAAAAGTTAGTAATGTGCATGGCTAACACTTGATGAGTTATTTAATATGCAGACTTATCAAAATTATGAATTAGTCAATGAGTGATCAAAACATACACTATTTATATAATGCTAAACACTTATAAAATGGTTTTGATAGTCATTATTGTCATTTGCAAAAATGAAAATCTTTGTAAATCTCCCCTCTTTTTGCCTTTTTTGTTAGCCTTAGTAATGTGTATAATTTATAGTATAAATATACTTTTCAGGGTAATTTCTGGCAATCGCCTTAGATATGACTGATCCCCAGTCGCCACCATGTACGAAAAAACGTTTATGTCCTAAACGGTCCATGAGTTTTACAAACACCCTGGCTGCGTCAGGTACGCCAAACCCTATTATAAATATCAATTAAAATTATTGTAATTTTTACAAATGTTTATTTTATCCCAACTATTTATTGTGTAAATTATTAACTAGTCTAACATTATTAAACTGACAAACTAACCTGGTTTATGGGGCGCCTCAGAGAAACCATAGCCGGGAATTGATGGACAAATCACTTCAAATGCCACACCGTCTTTGGGCTCCACCAATAGGGGTATAGCCTTATAGTACTCCCATACAGAGCCGGGCCACCCATGTATGACCTAAACACATCAATTATAAATTTAATTATATTAAATCTAGCTAAAATTGTTAGGTAATTACCAGAATGGGCACAATCTTTTTGGCCGGTTTGCTTGGCTTAACATGTATGAAGTGAACGGATAGGCCGGCGATTTGTGTGGTGTACTGTTTTAATGAGTTCAGGTGCTGTTCCTGTCGGCGCCAATCAAAGTCAGTGCGCCAGTAGTCGCACACTTCCCTTAGAAACTGGCCGTTAAAGCCGTAGTTAAAGTTTGTGCCGACGATTGAGTCCACATAACGGCTGCTCTCTAGCCGTTGCTTCAGGTCTGTTAGGGTCTCTTCCGGCACCTGTACCTCAAAGTCAAGTATTTCTGTCGATTCGGTCGGTAATGGCTGTCCATCTAATTGTTTGAGATAATTGTTTGATTAGTTATTTGCAAAAAAAATGCACTTAATTTAATTTAAAATGTCTTGGTTTTTATCCACCATAAAATATAATTCAACAAGGTAGTTTAATAATAGATACGAATTATGGTACATTTACAGTTTTATTGTAATTTTATATACAATATTTTACTTTAAATTTTTGGCAATTATTATTACTAATATTTTAATTAATGTGATTTCCGTTGTTGTAGTAATGCACATGTTACAAACAGTGTAATAAATAAATTAATTTTATAATAGTTTTTTGAATATTTTACACTATCTATAGTTTAAGCTACATGTAAAGATCTTTAGATCAATTAAATTTTAATTTAATATTTTTAGCTTTCAATTTAAGTATAAAAAATATTTAAAGTAAAATTAAAAAACATGGTTATCTATTTAATATTTACCGACAACTTTTGCCCAAATTATAGACTTAAAATATCTATCTCTATATATAATCTGATTGAATGTTTTATGGTTACAGTTTTTACCACTCCAAAGATCTCTCTCTCTCTCTCACACACACACACACACACACACAACTATAACATTCATTTCATTATCATTTGTATTGCTATAATTATGTTTATATAATATAATTAATGTTTAATTCATTACAAATACTGAATATTAAGCTCGTGTTTAATGAATATTTCAAAACGTGCAAAAAATAAAATATGTTTACCCAGAATAAATCACACATGTTGTTTTATACGTACAGTGTCTCGGTTGAGAACATCATTATAAAATTTCTAATATAAATTATACTGGCCCACACAAAAACAAAATAGCCTCGTAGCAATTTTAATTCTCTCTCCCTCTCGACACTTACCTTTCCATTCACTTTTGCCAAACCACTTGTCCCGGAGCTCAGGCTTTTTGACCGGCGCTGGTCTCCAATAGGGGTACACAATAGCGGCGATTGCGGCCAATACTATACCAAACACTAGGCTTTGAATTAAGCCTATTATCCATTGAATAAATCCCAGATTAAAACTAATTATACAAATATTAAATACAAACAAAATGTTATTAAAATTAAATAAATCATAGAGTTGCGGTATTTTTTGTTGCTCTAGCCTTTCTGGCCGTCACGTTACCCGGATACTTTCCTGAGAGAGAGAGAGAGAGAGAGAGAGAGAGAGAGACTTACGGAAAGTAACCGGGTAAAGTGACGGCTAGAAAAACAAGGGCAACAAAAAATACCACAAATCTATGCACAACAGACATGTTTACAACTAAAACCAAACTTTGTTTTTTATAAAATTAAATACACTAACCATTGATACTCAATGTGTTTGTAGTTTTATATTATTATAACTCAAAAGTCTGGAGGCCTTGAATTATTAATTATATTACCACGTTATATATGATAAGTGTTTTGCACTCTACAAGTACTGGCCCCAAGTTTACAAGTGCTAATGTGAGTGCATATTTCATCAATAGTTTGTGCCTAAATTACTATGGTGAAAGATTACATCTATTTGTTCAATTTGTTCATTTGTATGCAAAATAAATTGGCATAATATTAAAGTTTGATAAAAAATTCTGTTAATATTTGTAACTTAAATTAAATCTATTCATTCGAAATTAAAATACACTATGTAATAAATACTGTTCTGTTAAACATAATAAAATATTGCTGAAAACATGTTAAAATTATCAGAAAAAAAATCTGATTTACACATTTATTTTACAAGACAATCATCGAGATAAACACAAATATTAATAGACTATATTTGTAATACATAGTTTAATTACATTAAATAAAAATAACAGCATATTGATTTATGATCTCTTTTAATTGCTGTAATAATAATCACTTCAATACTTGTAAATTTTAAACCATACATTTATATAATAAAAAAAAATTTATAAATCTGGTATAATTAAATTGTTATTATAATTTATTTTAAATCTTATTGGTACACTTTACTTTACTATAAATTTTAAAATAATAATTATAGTTAGTAGCCGTTTGTGCATGCTAAAATTAATTAAAGAATGATAACTATATCATTATTGTGAATAAAGTACGAATAGTACTATTAGTAGGCAAACCGTTTTGGAGCTTTTTTGGAGCATTTTTTATAGTTTTGAGCACAATAATGATTATTACAACTATTTGTTCATTTTATAGCATGAGTTAAATACTAAATGTTATGATTTTTTTTTTACTAATTCATGGCTTTTATTTAGTCTGCATATTAAATGATTCATATTTTGGTTGCCCTATGTATTAGTATTAAAATATTATCTACAGTAGTATGATGATATGATAATATAATATAATAATTATGTCAATGCATCGTATTTACGTTTATAAATTAATTCACAAATTAATCCCATTATTGCAATCAATAAGCCACACATTAAAATGTAGAAAAATAATTTTATATCAACGAGTATTAAGGGAACAAACAAATCCGTATCAGAACTATCCTGGTCATCATCAAAATCATCACGTATTAATTTATCGACAATTCTTTGACGTACTCCAGTTTGACCAGTCTCTGCCATTATTGTAAGCCTGATAAAATTTAGATTTAACTTCAATATATTTAATAATCATGTAATTATGGTAATACTTGAGGTTAAATAAATATTTAATTTGTTCATCCAGATTTTTGTTAACCAATGGCTGCAACACTGATAACATGGTGTTCTCACGTGATTTATGAAATGCTAGTGTCGGGTGCAGTTGGGTAAATATATCAAGGATAATTTGTGAAAATATAAACACGTTGTCGCCAGAGTGAAATTTCTTTATTATTTCAATATCATTCATTGTGTAAGCATATTCATCTAAGTACTTTAAATTACGATATTTATCCTGAATTTAATTAGTAAAAATATAATTTATATATTTAATTGATCTAATTAATTGTATATGATAATTACCATGATATAATTAGTGTACACAGGATTTGTATTATCAACTATTACCGTAATTTTGGGCCCAATATCTTCTATGCTGTCTATTGTACGCAACGGAGGGTTCGCTAAATTAGACAGAAATTCATTGCCAAACAATTGGATCCAAAACAGACTGTTTGCCAACCATATGGTGAATATTAAACTGCCAAATGAGCCAGCACGTATGTATTTGCTTAAAGCAGCTTGATGAACAATAAAATAAAATTAAATATATCGCCTACATATTTAATTTTATATTGATATTACTAACATTTTCCTGTTAGAACCATGATGAAATCGAGAATAAGGCACATTGTTGCATCAATAAAATTAAAATGTTTATCTGCCATTTTATATTTAAACCAATCGTAAATTAATGTGATTGCAATGCACGTGATAAACACGACTGTAATGGCAATCCAAGTAATTTTATTAAACGAATTAAGCAATGTAAACTGTCCATGCTCATATATCTCGGTGGACAATATTGAGACTAAATTAGTGATTAATACTGGATAAATAGAATGGCTTATGGCTAAATTATCATGTGTTAAAATTACATAACCCGTCACGTCTACTAGCTGAATAAAAATCAAGTTATTAATAAGTTATTAAAGATATATCAATTATTAAATAGTACATTGTCATTCAAATCAGCCAGTTGGTCAGTCCAAGTGCCGTTTATTAAGCCACCTATAAATTTTGTCTTATAATAAACAAAGGTGATACTAAATAGATTTTATTAATTAAATAATTTATTCATTATTCAATTTTAGTGTTAATTGTATTTTACCTGCATTTTAAGTAATAATAAAATATTATTATAATAAGTTTAAACTCAATACATATCTCATAAAGACCATTATTCAATTGGCGCATCTGTGAATTGCATCATCATGTAATTAAAAAAATATAATTATTTTTAAGTGAATGTTAAGTTACATCCAAAATTATTAAGCATGATAATTTACATACATTTGAATTGGCAATTGCGAGTCGAATATTGCACGTGGTATTGAATGGTTGATTCATAAAATGATTATCCGGCGTTTGAATGCAGTGTTTATTCATTGTTGCGATTAATCTATATAAATATTATTTAATTATTTAAAATATAATATATAAATTAAATTAAACTAACTATTACTACTAATCATACCATACACTCACACATAAAATAGCACACATTTAATTAATTAATATAAAATAGATATGATGACTACATTATATTTGGACACGAAGTGATTTGAATGATATTAATAGCGGTGTTAATCGTATTACTATCTCCTCGTGTATTGGGCGGCACTAAACTTATCATTATTATACAAATCCCATTCCCCACAGCCCCAATCCACCTGGCACAAAATTGAATTTAAATATTTTATTGTAATATTAATGTAGAATAATATAATAGAATAATATACTATAATAATAAATGTAAAATAATATTGATAGCAATGCTAGAGAATAATAGATATGATTGATTTAGTTGAGAGTTGGTATAGAATTGGTACCAAATTAATAAACTACTCGTCTGTATATACCATTAATGTTATAAATATTTATAAAACAACTCAAATACAATTCAATTCATAAATAGATAATGAATAGATTGACACAATTATTATAAAATATATCCATAATTACATTTCACTTCATATATATAATAATTAATTTAATTGTTATTAAACTTAATGTCAAATGTATTAATAGATTTTAAATTATGAAAATAATAAACTTATTATTTATATTTATTGTTATAGACGTAAGTATTGTCAATAACATAACGTGCGACCAGTAATTAACTGCCAAATTAAACCTGGTCCAATTTATAATTGAACGCTTTTATCATGGTTTGAGAGGGTAACTTTATTTTAAAGATTAAAACTCACCTTTTGATATTTTATTTTAAAAATGTTGTCTAATTATATAATTATTGTACACAATTTGTACACCATTTTCACTTCAATTTTACCAGTTTGTATATTATTAGTAAAAATAAATCTAGCTACTAATTAGTTGTTTAACGCAAGACGACCCAGGGGGAAAATGCATCCCCCTCCATCAAATTGAGGGATGTGGCAAAAAATGATACAGTAATCGATCGATGCTATGAACAGATTGGGTTTGGGAATTTGCTTCATAACATCGATTAGCTCACAGCATCGATCATAGTTTAACATTAAGTTAATGAAGATTGGATTTGAGGTTTAGTTCATAACATCGATCGCGGACTGTAAAGTCAACCTTAAATTCTAAGTGTACTTGCAAATATATTATATCAATTAAAAATGCATTAAAAATTTCAATTTTTTATTTTAGTAATTTAATTATTTTTGTAATCGCAATTAAAATTAATGTGAGTGCAGTGAAGCAATTATGTTACTCGTAATAAAAAACGTATACCATTATCACGACATCTCTTATTTTTTAAATAATTTTTTCTAATTAAANCAATTATGTTACTCGTAATAAAAAACGTATACCATTATCACGACATCTCTTATTTTTTAAATAATTTTTTCTAATTAAATCCGAATTTGAAAATTCTTTCAGAATTATATTCCTCTCATCCATATCTTTCTATCTATATATAATATGATATACTTATTTATGAATTAAAAGATTTAATTTTCAAAATTTCGCCGATTAAAGTGATCACTACGGCCAGACCCGAGGGAGTTTGAACAATTTTATAACAATAATTCCCAATTGCCCGCTATCACACCAATGGGCATACACATTTACAGTTACATATTAATTATTGTGTTACAGTTCAATAACAACATAATTTACAAAGTTTCCCGGTTATCACAGTTTTATGTCTAATTTTCTAACAAATTTTAATGTTTAATTCTTGGAAAATCGATGTTCTAATAATTTTTAAATTAAATTCTTTTTTATAAAAGTTGTTTTTATTTGTTTGAAATTAAACAGTCTTCACTAGTTTTAGAGTCGACTGTAATTTTTGACTCACCTTGGTAAATTTGACTTTTAATCAATCGCGACTTAAAAAATTATTGATCAGCCAATACTCATCAGTAGTTTAATAATTTTATTTCAAATAATTGTAACATGAATTTTAATTGGTCTATTACTTGTTACTTGTTACAAGTACGACAAATAGAAATGCGTTAATACCCGTTCACTATAACGAGTATACTGTACATTATAACAGTAGATACATGAATATGATGTACGGGTCTTGTTGTGTACACTATCAGGATTTTAACCCCGATGTGTGTAAACCCCGATGTATTGTAGAGTTCAAGGATTTTATTATGATTTGAACCATTCATTTCATTTTGAAGTATATTTTTATTCATAACATCTCTTTTGATAATCTCTTTC